TGCCTATAGTTTCTTCTAGGACTTTTATAGTTTCACGTCTTATGTTTAAGTCTTTTATCCGTTTTGAGTTTATTCTTGTGCATGGTGTATATTGGTGGTCTAGTTTCTTTCTCTTCTTTCTTTCTTTCTTTCTTTCTTTCTTTCTTTCTTTCTTTCTTTCTTTCTTTCTTTCTTTCTTTCTTTCTTTCTTTCTTTCTTTTTTTTTTTTTTCTCCCAATTTTCCCAACACCATTTATTGAAGAGACTGTCTCTGCTACAATGTATGCTCTTGGTTCCTTTGTCAAATATTAATTGAGCATAGTGGTGTGGGTCAATTTCTGGGTTCTTTGTTCTGTTCGAGTGATCTACATGCCTGTTCTTGTGCCAGAACCAGGCTGTTTTGCTGTTTTGAGTACAGTGGCTTTGTAGTATAACTTGATATTTGGTATTGTGATTCTCCAACTTTGTTTTTCTTTCTCAATATTGCTGTGGCTATTTGCTCTCCTAGCAATATGTTTACTGAAACATCTCCTAGGATAATGGAAAATAAAGAGAAAATAAACAAATGGAACTACATCAAAATAACAAGAGAGCCCACTATATAGGAGAACATATTTGCCAATGATACCTGTGATAAGGCATTAACTTCCAAAATATATAGGGAACTTATACAATTTAACAAAAGGAAGACAAATAGTCCAATTAAAAAATGGGCAAAGGACCAAAATAGACAATTCTCCAGAGAGGACATACAGAAAGCCAAGAGACATATGGAAAAATGCTCAAAGTCTCTAATCATCTAAGAGATGCAAATCAAAACGACAATGAGTTATCACCTCACACCTGTCAGCATGTTATCATCAACAAGTCAACCAATGACAAGTGTTGGCAAGGTTATGAAGAAAAGGGAACCCTAGTACACTGCTGGTGGGAATGTAGACTGGTGCAGCCACTGTGGAGAACAATATGGAGTTTCCTCAAAAGATAAAAAATGAAATTCCCATTTGACTCAGTCATCCCACTTCTAGGAATATCCTAAGAAACCCAAAACACTCATCAGAAAGACTATATGCACCCCTATGTTCTTAGCATAATTTATAATAGCTAAGACTTGAAAGTTTTTGCTAAGGTCCATCAGCAGATGAGTGGATAAAAAAAACTGTGGTATATTTACACAATGGAATTTATGCAGCAGTAAAGAAGAAGGAATTCTTACCACTTGCAACAACATGGATGGACCTGGAGAGTATTATGCTGAATGAAATAAGCCAGTCAGAGAAAAATAAGTATCACCTGATCTCACTCATATATAGACTCTAATGAACCAAATAAACTGATGGTCAAAATTGAGTCATAGAAGCATGAAAAGACTGTTGAAATTCAGAGGGAAGGCAGGGAAAAGATCAACCAATGAACCTGTATAAATATATGCATAACCCGTGGACGTGGACAATGAGGTGGTGAGGGATTGGGAGTGCGGGGGACAAGCGCAGGCTGGAAGAGGTTAATGGGGAAAAAAGAAGGACCTATGTAATACTTTCAACAATAAAGATTTAAAAAATACTTTAATTTTTCATATATTGAGATCCTGCTCATGCCGAGCCCTTCTTTGGACTTGATCTGTGAAGTAGTGAAGTAGAGGAGTGACAAGAACAAAATCTGGAGCCTAATTACCTGGATTAATCCTGACTCCACAGTAGCTATTGAACCTGTTGAAGCCTCAGTTTCATCACCTGCAAAATGGGTATAATAATGCCGAGGACAGAGAAAGTCTTTAATGTGCGAATTAGCTAAAATAAAGTGTTTGGTATAGTGTCTGCCACAGAATCAATAAGTAGCCTTTTTAAACAATTTTTGATGACAATGACACTAAAGAAAGAGTGGCAGATAAAATGATGGTGAAAGTCAAAAAAGTCCATGTGCTGAGGTTACAGGAAAAAATAGAGAGAAATATAATGACCTTCACTGAGCAAGGCTTAACATCTTGGATCTTTAACTAAGGGGAAAGAAAGAAGCACACAACGGTAGTAAATTAGGAGTATGGAGAAATTATCATCGTTGTTTCTTTTTATTTGTGTTTATTGTGTGGTGTTAGGGTGATTACCAGTTTTATTTGAATGTTTTATAAGCTGTTAGATTTATTTACTGAGCATGAACAGATAAATAGAGATGTTATTCAGCTGTGTGGTGTCATGGGTTCTCACAGCCAGCTCTTCCGCTAACTTTCAGACAAGGTTAATTAACAAGGGAAGTTCACCGTGGAGGGAGGAGGGGAGAGCTGGGTCTGCTGGATGATTCATCTTATGGTGGTGGGGGCGTGGGTAGAGGGGAGGCTGGTGAATCTCCTCTTGTTAGTGGTTCTGAGAAGGGGTTAGGCATTGGAGGGAAACTTTTATGAAACCTTGAGAAAGGTGTACTGATAGAGTTCTGTCAGAGGAGTGTGATCACTTTAACATAATGATTGGTTGCAAATGGGAACAGCTCCTAAATCTTTCCCAGTCCTAGACATCCATGATTGTGCTTTTTCATATTTTGTTTTTCTTATAGGCCCCTTCTTATAGCAAAGTGTCTTCAATCCTAAACCCAAGGAGCTCCAGAAATTCTTCTTCCTTATGTTTTCTTTCTTTCTTTTAAAAAAATTATATATATATATATATATATATATATATATATATATATATATATATTTTTTTTTTTTTTTTACAGAAAGGAAGAGAGAGGGATAGAGAGTTAGAAACATTGATGAGAGAGAAACATTAATCAGCTGCCTCTTACACACCCCCTACTGGGGATGTGCCCACAACCAAGGTACATGCCCTTGACCGGAATCGAACCTGGGACCTTTCAGTCCGCAGGCAAACACTCTGTCCACTGAGCCAACCCAGTCTCGGCATTCCTTTTGTTTTCATCATGTCCCTTCTCATTCACCACTCACAGGTGGCATGTCACCTGCTCAGGGAGACCTTCTGTGACCTTCATAACTAATGTGGGGCCCCCACCAACCAGGCCCTCACATTACCTTGCACCACTGTCTGTGTAATAAGTGTAGCCTAACGGTCAACCATTAGTACATGGGGCTTTGAGCCGGAATCCCAGAGGTCAAAACCTAGCTCTGTCTCTTCAACCTGTGACCTTGAGATATGCAATTAACCTCCTCTGCCTTAGTTTCTTCATCTGTAAAATGAAAACAATGAACTACTTTCTTCTAGGATTTGCGAGGGCTAATACAGGTTCCCAGTACCATGCCCAACACCTTGCAATGTGCATAAATGTTAGCTACTCTTATTTTATTCCTCATCACTCTCTGCAATCACCTTCTTTATTTATTCCCTTCTCATCATCTTGTCATTTTCCGTCTCCCCCCGTTAGAATGCAATGCCATGGAAGCAGAGACTTTTTAATGTTAGTACTGCATTGCCAGGACCTAGAAGAGGCTTCATAGTAGGAGTTCAATAAATATTTGTTGAATGAATGAATGCTGTATTAATATTTAAAATGTTAGTTTGCCCAATTTCAGCTCATGTTACTGAGGTGCCCCTATAACAAAACAAACAAACAGAACCCAAGCTATTTGGTTTCTTGCCTAGAATGAAACTCATATTACTTTCCCTTATTATTAATATTATATTTTTTACCCAGACATCCCACATTTTTGCAGATCGAAAATTTTACAGAGCTTTTACATCTCTAGTTAGTCATGTGGGAGCTATACATTCTTTCAGAATATTAAATTATCTAGTGACATTGAATTACACTAAGTATTCCTTTTTCAAATGATACCTCAAATGTACCTCCTGGGACATGTCCCCTACGAACCAGTAAACATCACTAACGGTGAAGAACAATGCTGACAGACAGACAGGAATCCTTGAAAAGGAGACCTACAGCTCCTGAAAGCTGGACACAAAGAATGTATCTTTCTTGCATTCAAATGGCAATAGTCATTAAACCTGCATGTGACCTATAGAAACCAAACTGACCAATGCCACACAGTAATAACTAATAAATGAATTGGACTCAGCAAGGAAGGCAAATACAAATGATCCTAAGGCTAGTCAGCTCAGGTTCGGTTGGTGCATGGAAGGGCCTGATCCCCCACCTCCTGTCTTTTTTCTCTGAAGAATTCATGTCAAATACAGTGCCTGACTCTGACTTTTATGCAGGGTCTTGATTACTTATATCAGGTTTTTAAGGCCTGGTAATATGGGCTGTTACCCTCGCTGACGGCACTCACCATCAAGAGCTTAGCTATCAAAAGCCCTACTCTGAAATTGAGGAAGGCTGTGGGGCCACATCCATCGTACAGTCTTCTTATGTTTATTCTCCACATGTAATAAACATTGTTTGAGAGGTCGGTTAGTATGTTGTAAAACTGATAGGATTCGCTTTGCCAAAGGCATTTCGTAAGTTTCATAGATCTTAATTTATGTTGCTATAGTAACTAAAATAATATAATAATGAAGATTACGACTCTAAGCTTGGTCTTCATTATTGTGGGGAACATATAATCTGTATACTAACTATTTTGTGTGTTACGGTATACGGTTTCTGATGTCCAACCTGATTTTCTTACTTACATGTATGAATTTCAGTGGCCAGTCTGAAATATTAAAATGGACAGTCTTTCTCTCAAGAGAAAGGAGGGCTTTGGAGAGTTAAGTGGGAGAAGTGGAATTCTGATAAGCAGCAATTCCAGAATTCTCATTTTAAGGACTGATATACATTTGGCTCACCTTCTCCAGCAAAGTGAATTTCTAACGTGCTGAGGCCCTTCCTGCGTTATTCACAAGTGCTCTAAGAAAAGGCATGATATTGAGGCATTTGGTGTAGCAGTAATGCCTGAAGTGAGACTAAGGTGTAAGGAAGCTTTACCTTGAGACAGGAAGATAGCTAAGAACCCTGTGGGTTGCTCAAGATCACATGTGTTAATTATATGCACCCAAAGCAGTTGGGAAACTCAATTCAAATGATCCAGGATTGACCTAAGACAGAGCTATAGCCACTTCCGAAGCCCAGCTTACCTTATATCCTGATGATTTGATGTGCACGCCGCGTTTGGTCAGAGTAGATTTCATTCGGATGAAAAAGGAACGCTCAAGGGTGTTGTCAGTGGTTAGCAGACTGGGACTGGTTGACTCCACTGAGGAATACAAAGACATACACACATGATTTAGATCTCCGCACAGCCCCTCACAGCTACTGCTCAGGTGCAATCCTTGAGTTCACTAAAAATAAATGACTGAGAGGTGCTAAGAGCCAAGTAATCAATTTACCTCATTTAGAAAATGTTTACTTTGCAGAAAATAAAAAAGAAAAATTAATTATCCAAAGTAACTTCATTCCAGTTTCTAGCAAGAGTTTTTTTCCGGCCTTTAATTCCCAGCAGCTCCCTACATGAGGTCTGATAGTAGCTAAGCAGTGACAGCACATCGGGAGGCTTGGCTGGTGTGCGTGGAGAGAACTGTCATGAGAAAGAAAGACTCCCCAGATTGATGGGATCAACTAAGACTCAGGCAGAGCTGCTTCTGAGGAAGGGTGAGGACGGCTTGCTCCTTGTTCTCCCTGAGAATCCTGTCTTGTGTCATTTACCTCCTGGGGCGTTCTGAGAACCACAGAACCATCAATGCCTTTGAATACTGGAGTTGGTTTTCTTCATTGTGGGGAACGGGAAGCATGAAAACTTCTCAACTGACTTAAGACAGAGGGCTGAGAGTGGGATGTACAGACAAACAAACACAAGCTCCTCACAATTTCAACTTTCCATTCCCATCACTAATGGCAGCCTGTCCCCTCCTTGCCCTCACCCCAATAGGAAACAGTCTCAGGGTTTCCCCCTTCTCTGCTTCTGGGGTGGGAAAATAATAGTATCCTCTCTTAGTAAGATCTCTTTCCCTTTACAGATGTTTAGACTAAGTACAATACATTTTTACTTAGGAAACTTAAAATGGTATTTTGCAGTCTTGCTGATCTAAAAATGCTTTATTCATAAGACTAGAAGGCAACACAAGTCTCTCTTCTTTATAGTCAAGCTTCTAAGGTATTATATAAATTTGTTTTTTTCTGCAAAAAAATAATTTTGGGATGTTTAAGCCTAATAAATACTCTCATTTTATTCTTCTAAAATAGTGCTTTTAAAGTTTTTCTTATTCTAAAGCAAAAAAAAAAAAGTTGCAACAACATTAGTATTTCTTTTGAACAGTCTTTTTTCTGATATCCTCAAAGTAGAATATCAAAATAGCACTTATATTCTCTGGGTGGGGGTAAAGATTTAAGAATTAAATATATAGTTATGAAAACAAAGGAAAATAGGCCCAAAACTGTAAAATTTTATATTATATAACATATTCCATGTTTCTAAGGCAAAGGCATCTCTATTTTTTTAAATATTATTTTCATTGTGCTCAATACAAATGATCCAGGATTGACTTAAGACGAAAGAAGAATGAGAGCAACTGTAATAAGAGAAACCCTGCTGTCTATGGTGTGGGGCCTTTCCTGTATTATTCCTGTCTGAATGTGACTATATTTTCCTATATTTATGGTGTTTCTATTTTGGGATAATGGAACCACCGGCAAGTGTCCTTTTCTTATGTCCCTCTCTTAAGATTTTCTTTCTTTTTTTTTTTTTGTTTTAGAGAGAATGGATCTGATGTCATTTTAAATGTACAGCTTTTTATCACTCGAGGGAAAAGCAGAGCCATGTTATATTTAGTACTTTCATTTCTTCTGATTAAATATGAATTACTATGAAATTTTTCTCATCATCTAACACGCCATAATACGCCAACAGCTTTTTAATACACTATATAAGCACAAACTTCTGCTCTAAGAGTTTAATTTACCCCTCTAATCCAATCACATCAACCTTATTTCTCTTATCAGAGATTCCCATTTTGAATTAAATGAGCTCATTAGTTTTAATCAAAAGCAGAGAGATCAAAACTTAAACGTAAATGCTTTAGATCAGAACTGTCAGTCAGCCGTGCAGTTCTATTTTACTAAAACACAAGATCAGAGACCCTTAGAACCAATTTTTTTTCTCATAAGGGATGCCGAGAGCTTGAAGATGCTATATCCTTTTTTTTTTTTTCTCCTCCCAAGGACAGATTATACATTTAAGGTTAGACTTAATTTATAGCAGCTTTTCATCCTGGTGGAAGTGGAAAACTATGCCAATCTACTGTTGTCCCTTTCACATTTATTGGCCTTGGTCCTCAGAGACTTGAACTACCGTAACGTGCTGCCATCAGAATCCACACCGCAAACTCGGCCTTAAAAATTCAGCTCTGTTCAGCAAGATCGTGTTTGCAATAGCTGAGGACAAATGAAACTTCCCAGAGAAGTGAAATATGGTTAGGGCTTCTGGATACCCTGCCTCAGAAAAGAAGGAGCCATCTATACCTGTGGAAGAGTGAGCAATTTAGGCACCATTAGAAATGGTTTTTGAGCTCAGTGTGGGACTGAAAAGCAAACACTTAGCATGCATGTTAGAGACCACAGCATGGGGGTACTTCCCACGGAATGGGGATGCGAGACACAAGCTTCGCCTGAGCTCTGGAGGCAGAAAATTGTGTTGTGCCCTGGCTGAGGCAGTGTACACAGCACCCCGTGTGTTACAACAGTAATTGTCTAAACATACAGGGTTGCTGCCCTGACTGGTTTGGCTCAGTGGATAGAGCGTCAGCCTGTGGACTGAAGAGTCCCAGGTTTGATTCTGGTCAAGGGCATGTACCTTGGTTGCTGGTACACCCCAGTAGGGGGTGTGCAGGAGGTAGCTGGTCGATGTTTCTCTCTCATCAACGTTTCTAACTCTCTATCCCTCTGCTTTCCTCTCTGTAAAAAAATCAATAAAATATATTAAAAGAATAAACATACAGGTTGCTTAATTAAACCCATGACAGCTGGTATGCAGTTGTCAAAGTAGAAGTCAGGTTTTGTCCCGTGGAAGCTGAGATTTCAAATCTAAACTGGCCCTCAAGCTTTATTTCAAGAGTGTGGAGGGATGGGTTGGGCTTTGAGGAGAAGGGTTTGATTCCTGATGAAGATTTTTCTTTTCGTTCCATATGATTGTCTGGTGCTGAGAAGGGGCAGAGGTCATGAGCCACACCGTCCCTATCAAAGAAGCACGTGACAAACTCTTTAAGGTACCCACACCAAGGCCATGTTTGCTCAGGGCCAGCCTGTGTGCTGTGGCCATCCCAGCTCCTGCAATGGAGTCTGTCCCGTACACAGACAGAGGGGAGGCCTCCTAAGTGTCTCAGGTGAGAAGCACCATGTTCATGAAGGTTCTGCTTGGGACAGAGCCAAGGCAGCATGGCCTTCATGGGTGATAGGACTGCAGCACTCAACAGAGAAAGGGTGTGTTCATATGTGTGCATACATGCCTGAGTGTGCATACATGTATGTGTGTGTTGGGAGGGTGGAGTAATGAGAAATGTATTCTTAGAACTGGAGCTATAGAAAGACAGTGGGAACCAGTCTATGTCGAAGAAGCATTTTAGAGTGCTTTCTAGGAATCAAAGACTTTCCTGTCAACTCATTGAGGCAGGCCATGATAGCTGCATGCTCTGATAAGAAATCTGAGATTCAGAGAAGTTATAGCTGCTTCCTGAGACCCAGGAGAAATTTATGGATAAAAACTGGAGTAAGTGGTCAAAGCTTAGACGTGGCCAGTTTTGACCTATGAATGATAAACAAGGAGCTAAAAACAAAAACAAAAATAAGACACATACAACTCAAAGCTAGATAAAGAAATATACTACCTTTTGCTGAATGTCAAGGGCCTCAACTTTTTAATAAATCTAAATTATCTCAGCTCTTGAAATGTCAGTTTTTGCATATTTTGTAAAATTTACAGAACAATTTATAGCAAAAGTTGTAATAATTTTTGTGCTGGCAAATGCCACCATAATGTGAAACCATGTCAGCATATGATTCCCTCACTGGTTTGGGAGTTGCTGCTTCCTTATCATTATGGCGGGGCCGGATGGGGGAGGGTGGGAAGGACGGGTGGCTGAGGACCATCTAGTTCTCGCTGGCCAATCCTAGGCCAGGTCCATTCTGGACACTTGCAGTATTCTCTCCAGGTCTCAACAGGTGAATGATGCAGGTGAATGAGATCAAAACATAAAGAGGGCCTTTCTTCCCAGTGCACTCCAAGTGTAGTTGTAAACGTCAGAACCCTCCAGCAGCCACCAAGCCCTGATGTATGAGGGAGGAAACATTTTTTAAAAATGTTAAGTTTTGAGAAAACTTTGTGACTCTTCAATTGTGAACAAAATATTTTTCCTTTTAAAGGAGAAGTGGAGTTGGGGGTATGGCACTAAGAGCTGGAACTACTCAGATAACCTGCTACTGGTTCCTGGCCTGTAGAAGCGATATAAGATAGCTTTGTCAATATTTGGGGTAATTTGTTTTGTAACAATAGATGACTAATATAGCATCCATGTAGACCCTCTTTGGGAAAATCACCACCTTGTTTTAATATGTGACAACCATGTATGCGTGTACAACTCATGTTGAACCCACATGTGCAAGGAAAACTACCTGCAAAGCTGACTGTTACAAGCAGGGCCTGTGTTCGCCACAGCAAATGCTCAATTGATGTTTTAAAATGTGCAGTTTGCAAGAGATGCTATCAACAGTGTCATCTACAATACTGTGAAGTCCTGAAAAGCAGGCCTGATATGTTTTTGGCTTTTGTGTCTATTCTCTGCTCTCCTCCAGCCCCCTCAGCTCCCCAAGTACCTAGGATTGTGTTTTACATAAGCAGCCACCCAGTCTGCATGTAGAATAAAGTAACAGCCAGATGCTTACTTTTAAGAAGAATTATTTGAATTATTTTCTTTTACATCAAACATCTCCTCTCTTCTATCCCTCCCCCTCCCCCTCCCCCTCCCTCTCCCCCTCCCTCTCCCTCCCCCCCTCCCTCTCCCTCCCCCTCCCCCTCCCCCTCCCTCTCCCCGTCCCCCTCCCCCTCCCCCTCCCCCTCCCCGTCCCCCTCCCCCTCCCCTTCTCCCTTCTCCCTCCCCCTCCCCCTCTCCCTCTCCCTCTCCCTCTCCCTCTCCCTCCCCCTCTCCCTCTCCCTCTCCCTCTCCCTCTTCCTCTCCCTCTCGGGGGGAGAGGGAGTCATTGTGTCTC